TGGAAAGGCTTCTTTAGGGGTTCCTTCAGTAAGGGACTTGAAGCCAGTGTTCCCAACCTGAGGGCCTCGACCCCCCCTAAGTGCCATAAGATAAATCTGGTGGGGCACGAGGTGATTAACAAGCCAGGAAACCAGAAAAAAACATATTTATGATGTTGTTTTCAGCCCTCTAATGTTAACCCCTACTGCATAATTTTATGATTTTGATTTCTAAAACTTACTCAAATGAAATCGGAAAGCAGAAAACAAATGACTTTTTGTCTGAACTACTTTACACACTGGTGACCAGCAGTCACAAATGGACAGAGGTTTGTTTTAAGGGGTTACGAGCCAAAAAGGTTGGGAAACCAGCTTTCAGCAGTCACACACTGACAATATTAGAGGCTTTGCATTGCTTCTAGCTCCATTAACTGCTCAGTTCAGAAATCTGAACCTCAGTCGGACTACGGTAATGAGAATTTTAAAGTGAAGCATCGATTTACTTTCCAGCGTCCGTTGATGGAGTTCTAAACGTGACTAAAAAGAGTGACTTTTAATTAGAGCCTTAAGTAGAGCCTTTTGTTTACAGAGCCAACAGATAAAGTCATTTGCAGCCCACACTGCGCCTTCAGCAACCGAAGGACCTTTCATTAAAAGCACCCAGTCAGCGCGCGACATTAACAGAAGCTGCCGGTCAAATGCTGCTGACACTAAATCTGCTGCTTCCACCAGCCGCTTACGCAGCCAAATATATTCCACATATATAGGTCCACTGAAAACTATGAAAAGATGAACTTGTAGTTTGTTAATAAAATGCCAACAGATGCTGAAGATAATCTTACATTTTCTTCTTGCTTAAGGTAAATTTTTCAAATCCCTTTATATACAGTATATTACGGAAAAAAACATTCACTTAAAATCATTTATTATCTCTAAAAAACACATAATCACTAGACAAGGGTGATCACTTCTATCCAAGGGTCAATATTACATTACACATCCTTCAAGTCATTTCATTATAAAAATGTTATTTCATTTTTCATTAATTTTTGGTCTTGAGAATGTTTGCACTGACGGACCGTATTGTCTTAAATACGACGTTGTAACGTATGTTTCTCATTCGACTCTCGAGTAACGTTCTAATGTTTACATCTTAGAAAATAGAAGCAATATTTCCACAACAAAATGCCTTTTTTGCATGTGTTTGACATTTTGTTGACTGACCTTGTAAAATGGTTTACTATGATTTAAACTTTTATTGCAATGAAAAACCTATAAATTGAATATATAATGGGAAAGGTATATCATCGAGCTTTCGTCATTGATTGTAAGGAAAATGTGTTATTCATAACTAATGTCAGGCCATAAAGTTCCAGCAGCCATGCCAAATATTTAATTTGTGTCAGAACTCAATGACTTTTGTTGTCTCCTCCAAATGAGTTCAAATCACTGAATAATGGTACGTTGTAGCACTTTATGGTTGCTTTACAAGGTTGCATATCCATGGAGCTGTTCTACAGCCACAGTTATGTGCAGCAAGCTGAATAGTTTTAGCAGAGTTATATAGAGAAATATGTTACTTGACTGGTACAAGATATAATTATATGGGGAATTATTATCAAATCAAACTAAATGCTGTGAGTTTTAAAATAATCTATAACATATATCACTTGTCTTTGAGTTTAATTTCCTCTTTCTACTACACCCTTCCCATTACTATTAATTTATTTTGGAATTTAAAAAGGTACTTTACTTCCCTGTTAATTACTACCATATGACTAATAGTAATACATTTACAGTTCCTTTGGCATAAGCTATCATAATTTAAACTTATGTCTTACTTTAAGCAGAAGAAAGATGTATATGATGTAAACACATATCAGCTTTTGTTTGGTTGTGTTTTGGATAAAAAAGGTTTATAATGTTCATTACCATTGTAATAAGGAAGATAGTTCTATTTTTGGAGCTGCCAGTTGTGATATGATAATACGTTTTGAGCATGAAATCTGTTTCTCAGTCCTTCATGTGGTTTTGTCAAATGTCTTGTCTCTACTAGCCTGAGCTCAGTCTCGTTGTGGTCTGTCTGTCCACAGTCAGCTGGCTGAGCCTCACTGGTCCCAGTCTGCAGTGGAGACCAACCACAACTGGACCCAGCTGGGCTCAACCGAGCTAATGGAAACGAGGCATAAGTGTTCTTATGCAAGCTGCGATGGTCCAGTACACTGCCTGCTTTGTTTCATCAGTTTGTTTCCTTATTTAATTCCTACCTCGATATTGTATGAAAATGCCCCCTTTTGGATGAATAAAAGTTTGGTTTCTTACATGTGTTGTTTTATTGTAAGAAAATGCAGTAGAATCAGTTTCAGTTACATTTGTCTTTGCTTTTGTCTTTTTGAAGATGTCCCACACATGTGTCTATTCTCCCTGTTGCAGTCTCTTCTCTTTGTTTAGATTGATTTGGAAACATCCTGATTTGCAGTCACAATGAGACAACTTCCTACAGATGTGAAACTGCGACTCAAGTTTCTCTCAGCAACACTCAGTAAGTTTAGTTTCCTTTGTCACGTCAGCTGCAGTTTCTGGGATCAGTCAGTTACTGTGTCATTTGACCCGTCTCCATGCACGTAGAGGAGTCTCGAAATCAATCGAATTTTTTGATCGTGTAAAAATTGGAATTTGACACTTCAAAAATGTTGTTACTGCTTAGGACTGCAACTTCATCACATGTAAAATGATGTTCACATTTTCCCAATGTATGAATTTATCACGTGAATTGTTGGGAAAATAAGTGAATTTTTTCACCTTTGAAACGGTGTTCCACATTTAATAAACATTTACATGTGTTTTAAATATTATAAATGTTTTTCTTTTTAAAGATTAAATTAGGTCATGCACAGTATACATCCACTTTTTAATTAGGTTCACCTGAACATCAGTGCAAATATCTAATCAGCTGATCATGTGTCAGCAACTCAATGCATTAAAGCAAGCAGACATTTCAACTGTTCAGACCAAACATCACAACGGGGAAGAAATTTGATCTGAAGGAATATTTCCACGACCTTGTTGAATCTACGCCTTGACGAATGTTCTGGGACAAAGGCGACGTCCTATCCAGTATAAGAAAGGTGTACCTAATGAAGAGTGCATCACGTGGTCTGTGTGATATGATTGAAAGATCTCGAGTTGGGACTGTTTTCTTTCCAACAGCAGGAATGACCTTCACGCGTGTATTTTAATGCAACACAGACGAGACCCACTAAACGTGCTGACGTGATTAAATCACCTGCTGCTGAGCTAGCATATAAACAGGTCCATCTGCATTACAACTCCATCCCCTGATGAACACTGTGTGATACAGTTAAAAGCTCAGAAAAAGCTAGTAAGTGGACACTTTAGTTGTCATTGTTGTGGTGTCAAACTATGAGTTATGAATCTCTTTATGTGCTGCTGTTGGAAGCATACCGGACTACAGCTCACGATGCTGATAAAAGGAAAGCAAAAATTAGTTTGTTTGTGTTTTTTTTTACTGCAAGTAAGCTGAGGTTTACATCATTGATGACCTCACCCGTCCGGAGGCCGAGCCGTATCTGTTGAGAAGGTGAGATCAGGTACAGTAAATCCAGACATTCTTACAGGGCTAAGCTCCTTATACTGCTGAAGACTTGAGACGAGCCTCAGCGCCCTCGCCGCTTCCAGGAAATTGTGTCAATGCAAGGCGACAGTAGTAGTACTCGGAGAGAGTTGTTGAGTGGATGATGGTCATTCTGATGCAGGGCTTAGAAAGATCTCACTTTGAAAAGAAAACAAAATGACCCAGCAAAAAAGGCAACATAAAATAAACAAGAAGGATGAAGGTGCAATAACAGCAGCATACACAAGACGATTAATTAGGAAGAGGGGGAACTGAATCCCTGAAGTACGGATTTTTCAAGCAGTATGAGGAGGGAACACTGACACTGATTTTGCATTTGTATGCTTACACATAGAGTTCTTTTAAGCCAAAAAAAAGGATTTCTTTGGTTCAACCATCCCCAGAAAAACATTCAGCCAATCACATTCTGTCCTGAGAAGTGTCTGTACAGCTAAAAGTCCCATATGCCTCTCTGCAGGCCTAATGAGTGTGTGTGATCAGTGAGGAAAGGTGCTCAGAATGGGTGATCAAAGGTTTCCAAACAGGAGTCCCCCTTGTCTCCACGAGCCAGGGGGGCCCCATGTGCTGCGGAGAGAGAGTGGGGACAAGGATGTTATTGTGCAAGGAGACAGAAGCGGAGCCCACCTGATCGCCTCTCGACCAATCACATCACCCCTCTGTGCTGCACCTCAGGTATCCTCTGTCTGCCCTCTGGGTGGAGAAGGGGTCAGAGGTCGAGAAGACAGAGAGCACCTGTTGGCAGGACAGATGGAAAGCTGACTGCGGTGAAGTGAAACACAGTAAAGCTTGTGAAGAAGCAGAGAATGAATCTCTGCTGCATTTACCTGACAGCTGTGGTTGCTGGTTACTCTGCAGGTTTAGATTGTACACATAAAATCAGCTTATAAAAATACTATACATGCACATAGATGAACAATAAGTACAATTAAAATGATCTGCACTGCAACATTAAAACGCTGCTCACATGTTAATGCATCAGTGACACTAATCCAAAGATAACATGGTAATATTACACCCACAGTGTCTGCATAATGAGTACTTACTTGCTTGTTATAGAGTATTTTACAATGTGTTATTGCTGCTTAAGTACAAGATCGGAATACTTATGCTGCATTATTTGCAAGTACCTCAACATTGTAGCCTCCTTATGTTCAGGAGCTTAATATTTCCGCCACTGCATATTTCCTTTCTAAGATTTTTTCCTCGGCCTGTATGGACCCTTTAGAGACATCACATATATTAAATCACAAGATGTTCCTATTCTCTAAACTCCATCTTCCTCTCCCCGGCAGGAGGAGCGCTTCCCTCTGGACCGGTCCTCCCTAGCTGTGACGGAGGCGCGCACCCCGCCCGCTCCGTGACGCAGCGCATCCCCGTGCGCACAGATGCTGGAGTGGAAGCGACAGGCGCGCTCATCTCGGTGGGACTGAACGCATCGAAGACCGGAGACTGGAGAGAAGATCACCCGGTTTGCGTCCGTCAGGAGCCCCAGACCGCGGTGAACCATGCTCACAACAAGTCTCTCCGCGGGCAGCAGGACTTAAAAAGCTGCGGTCCATCCATCTGGACACTTTTTTACATTTGCTCTCGCCCCTTCCCCTTATATCTCCCCCCTCAGCCCCCCGTTTGATAAGGAAGATAAGAGTCCAGGCAGTCATACTCCTGCTTCCATTCCTCTTCGGGTGAGCTATTTAACCCCCAGTTTGACGGACAGTCGGCCTTTCACCCAAGCGCGATGTGGAAGACCGGGACCCTGCTGCTGCTGTGGGTGCTGTTGGCGTCCGGCGAACTCCAGCAAGAGACGGGGACGCGGAGACTCCCACCCCCGGGAAAGTTGGATTTCGGTTATGTGCCTGCGGGAGTTTACGAGACACTGGCTCATTACGAACCGGGGCCGATAGGGATCCTGTTCCACATGGTGCACGGCTTTCTGCATGTCGTGCAACCCAACGCGTTCCCACAAGGTAAGCATCCTCACTCAGTCGAATAAAGGCAGTCCCCGGTGAATGTGGCGGGGACAGACAGTGCGTTATCTCCGGGGACTGCAGATGGTAACACTGTGGGAACACTGGACTGTATTAACTTGTTTAACTGAGTATGCTATCATCTGTCTCGGCATGTAGGTCTCTGATATCATTCAGAGAGTGGATCTTATGTGCCTGTCCTGTGGGACTGCTTGGTTTCGGAAATATCACGAACTCAAGCTCAACCGTATCCAGTTGAAACCAGCGCGTTTACTGGTCCTCTCCCAGTTGGCACTTTCTCCTGCGCCAAAACTCTGCATGCAAACATGAGTTCTCATTAATGATTGTGAATCAACAGCACGCTTTTTAACTGACGACATCCTTCATCGCGTGGAAAGGTGTCCACACGCGGATTTGTAGCCCATTTGTGCGTCACGTCGCGTCTCCGTGCGCTCTGGTTTGCGCGCGGAGCTGACACACGCACTTGGAGGTGTTGTTTCTGCCCGCAGCGCACTCTGTGTCCTCATAATGACAATTAATGAACCCCTTGTTGACAACATGGCCGGTTTACGCACACAGCTTTTGCCCGAGTAGGTGACTGTTTGCCGGAGCACCCAGACACCCAGGAAGCACCAGCGCGCGCGGCTCTACATGTAATACAATTAGAGCTGACCGCTTAACCAAACACTCATAAAGAGGTGTGTGTGTGTGTGTGTGTGTGTGTGTGTGTGTGTGTGTTTAATTGGGTCGTGGATGGTCAAAAGATGCGGCTACCCCTCAATGCGTCACAGTCTGTGCCCGTATACTCGATCGGAACATTTTGCAGATTAGCAGCTCTCTGAGTCACCTTGTTAATTGGGTAATCCCATAAGCCCCTGCGCCATATGTTGTTGGCCTTTTAGTTTCCAGTTTGTCACCAGCACTCGGGGGCTCTCGGTCTAATCTTACAGAGCAGACCACTGCTCACTGAGCCCACCAACTGATGCAAGGCGGAGAATGGAAATCATGTGGAAATTGTTGGTTCGTGCACAATATTTCTGCAGAGCGAGGCTGTAGTTATGTCCTATCTTTGATTAGAAAGCCCTGAGGAATTCATTATTATCTTTGGGTTCATCAGTATTTAGAATGCGTAAGCAAAGGCCGTCTGTTTATTAATAGCAGCAGTGCATGCATGGATATTTAACATGATAAACGCAGTGATCTGTCAGGCCTGTTTTGATGAATACAGGCTGGTTTGCAGCAGACCTTTGGGACTTGCGGAGCTTGTCATTTCTACAACAACAACAACAACAACAACTTAGAAAACATAACTTTGACTTAGTCTGTAAAATCTATAGGACAAGTAAAAAAACACTTGTGACTGGAGCGTAGATCAGAGTGGAGCTCTGTTTAGGCTGGGTGGATGTGGGTGTCTCTTCACTTCAGCCTGTGGTACGCCACAGTGGTAGCCTTCTTCCAACAGACATTTAAAGTATTAATCACTGAATGTCCAAGGACAAAACTGCAAAAATTGCCCGTAAGTATTGTTCATTTGGCAGTGCGTTTTCAAATCATGGTCTTCAAAGGTTTCAAAAACACAAGTATAGTGACACAAGCAGAGATCTCAGTGTGCAGAAACTGCCAGTTTACAGTGGCATCTGGATTAGTGTGATATAAGGACTACAACAACTGTTTTTCATAATTGTTTAGAATAAATAATCCCAACTCCATTTACCACTTTTTTTCTGAGCTTAGGTTCTGTGGAGATGCCGGCTCAGTAGCTGTTATAATGTAATTCAAACTGTAGCCCATTTTTTTAGAAAGCTATCCCAACTCAAGGTCCAGTTACTCCAAAAGAAAGCTCAGTGGACCTTGAATTGGGATCAGGTCAAGAATCCAATCATAAACCACAACGTCGCTGGTTCAAGTTCAACTGGGGACGTCTGTTGTGTCTCTCCCTCCTTTGTGGTTACTAAAGATTGCCAATATAGGTGATCAAATCGGCGGGGGACAGTGGGAGTATCTGTGTATTTGCACATATTTAAAAAATGTATTTGCTATTAAATCAGTGTGTCAGTGTGTCTGTACTTGGTGCAACAGTATCACTGCATCGTGTTCCATTGAACATTATCTCATCTTCAATATCACAATCCAAATCACATCTATACCATTAACCACTCTTATGGAGCGCAGAGCAAAGCTTTGGCGAGCAGGCATGTGGAGAACAGAGTGTCAGATTCATGGGAACAGACAGCAAACTGGTTTGTAATTAAGGATTTAAAATTCACTCGTCACTCGTGCTGAGTAATGGGGCTCAGCGGGAGGACATGCTGCTCCACCAGAACCATCTCTAAATGCACAGTAGGTAATTTTAGATAAGATAGAAATTTCTAGAGATTATTTTCATTACACCTTAGTTCTGATTATGATTATGATTCTGACTAACTTTCTAATATCAGCGCAGGAAAAAACAATCGTTGATTATCCCTTCAGTTGTCAAAATACGATCCGATCTCCAGTCGGCACGAGCCTAAGCTTCCACGTCAACAGATCCCTAACAACTGAGCAAACTCCATCTTTTGATAAAAATCTGACACAAACCAGAAATTCCATCGAGCACAGTGTTCAGAGTTGCATACAGTATCTCTAAATCTCAGTCGCACACCAGAGCTACCTGGATGGAAACTCTCACTGAGGGGAAAAAATATTGTTATATAGTCAGTATTATATATTGGTCTAACCCTAGAAACAACTCTGACGGATGAACAATATGTTGCTGTGTGATTAGCGACACCCCATCATCATGTCTTCCACAATCACTGCGTGACATTTACCATTGTAAAAAGTCTTTATAATCTCATGAATGTTTGATGCGGTCGACTGACACGTTCATTCTCTGTATCAAACGTCGCGTTGGCTCCGAGCTTGTAGGAGGTGTTATTAGCAAAGAAGCAACAAATCTCTATCACTGACACCCACACAAAGCAAATGAACAGTGACATATTCATCTCTAACATTTTCCTAACGGCTTTTCACTGCAGTGTGCAAGCCTCACCTCCCTCCCTCTTTCACACCTACCCACACTCTCACCAACATACAACTGCTACATGCCAATTCACAGCCTGATGCACAGGACCATAAGCCCCTTTCAGACAGGAAACACGTTACTTTGCTGGCTTCATCAAGCTGTTAAAGTGATGGCTTTTAGTCATCCAGACATGGGTGAATTTTACATAAATCTTCATTATGGCTTTGTTCAAACATGACAGGACATATACAGAAAGAGCCACAATGCTCTCTAGCGATAGTTGGCACCTTGCAGTTCACAGCTGGAAAAGAGTTGAAAAGTTTAATGATATGAAGGAAGACGAATGTTTCCTGTTCTCTCTCAGGCTGCATCGCTGATGGATTTTAAAGCAGTATATTTATTTTCATCCACTACTCTCCCTGAACTAATTAATAAAAACAGTTGATTTAATATATTGCAGGTCTCTAATTTTTCCAAGTTTTTTTAAATTAATCTTGATGTAAGTCTGCCATCACTGGAGGTGCATTAAGCTCCTTCTGCAGTTTCAACAGTATCATTTCATGCCTGCGGGTGAGCGCGGCTGGGGAGATGATGCCAGCCACCGTCATGCAGCAGATCCCTGTTGGAAAGTGTTTTCTCATTAGCGTCTGTATTCCCTTCCCTTCAAGAAACGCCTAGGTGGAATTCAGATAACAGAGGACTGGTGAAAATGTGGCATTAATTCAAGACGAGTAACAGTTGCCAAGGAAACCCATCGGCAGCTATTATGGCCGGTGAGTTTTGGTTCACCTCGCTGGCTTAAGTGTGCCTCACAGCACCGGTGTGATGTGAGGTAAAATACTGCGGTGCAATTTGTAAGGTAGATTCACACAGCTGAGGTTATGTGATCTCAGGCCATGTTTATTTAACACTCACCAAAAGGGAGTCCAGAGTGAGAAAAGTGTACTGGGACATTTCAGTGAAGGACGCATAGACATGAAAGAACCTGAAGAGAAACACTTCAAAAGATTTCTAACCTAGGACAAAGCAGAGATCGAAGCGCTTCGTGATGCGCATCAGAGATGCGGCAGACATTTTGGTCCTTTCATGTTAAGAAATATTGACAAAGCAAGAGACTCTTTAAGGTTGAGGGGTGAAGCTCAACTAAAAGGGTGAACAAGGGTCAAACTTTTTAATATTTCCTTTTCAGTCAGACTTTGAACTCAAATGTTTTTGCTGCTATAAAGGTTTCCTGACATTTACATACAGTAAGCCTGAAATTGCTGAATCTACATAAAAATGAACTAGGGTTAAAGGTAAGGTTAACTATAAAACAGGTATTCCAGGGATTCAGTGGCCTTTTTCACAAAGTTGGGAGGTTTGAAAGAGAGACAGTAAATAACAATGCTTCAGAGGCCAGAAAACTTTTAGACTCTACAATGGGTAAAACTCCAAAGAGCAGTGGAGCTTAACAGTTAGAGAAATTGGCTTTTAAGCTGGGGAAAGTGAAATAACAGCACCAGTAGCTCCAGTGCAGCTGCTCGGTGTCCGGAGGATGTGGCTGTGGTTATAGTGTGTGACTTCCAGGTGTGAATGTGTGTAACCATATGAATGTAATCAAGACGAAAAGGTGTCAATAAAGCTTTAAATCTTACTTTTCTATAATGCATTGTGACAGTGTTATGGTTAAGGGCCATGTTTCTGATGCACGTAATAAACAAGTATTATTCAGACTGATCACAAAGTGTAAGTGTAAACAGTGAGAGCAACGCTGCAGTTTGTAGTCAGGTAATGTGATAATGTACTAAATATGGTGATAAAAAACACTATATAAATAGCATTCATAAACACAGCAGCATCCGTGTCTCTATTGGCTGACTGAGCACATCCACTCGTTAGGCAAAAGGTGCACTCTGACTTGTGGGAGCTGCTGAATATGGAAGTGAAACAGGAAATGCATACTTAAATGTACCTTAGTTTGGGCTCCAGGAGAAGTGAATGTGACATGAGACAA